TACTGTGCTTTGATAACCATGGAACTCATGTTTCATCATGCATAGTCGAGTGGTATGTCAGTCTATTTTATTAATCATGCTTCATGCAGCTGGCCTTCAGTTATCCAGGGAAAGGAAGGGAATTATGATATAATAATTGTAAAAAAAAATGGTCCAAACCAGGTTCTTGTGATGACACCATTGTAGGACAGAGAGTGATGTCAGACATGCTTGGTGCTTGTCTTTGAATACGCTGTTAGAGGAGCATACTTCTACTCAGTGCGGTTGCTGTAAACCAAAGACAAGGAATTTATATCAGAGCTCACATGTGCAAAAGTTAGCAAAATCAAAAGAACTGACTTTATACCTAACTTTAAATGTGTGATAAAATCCAGGCATGGTGGCATGCCTTTAATTTAAGCGCGCCAGAGACAGAGGCAGTTGTATCTCTGATTTTGAGGCCAGCCTGGTCTACATAGGGAATTCCAGGCCAGCCAGGATCATATAGTAATAATTGGGTGATAGAATAAAATGCACATGTTATCTTTAAATGCAGTACATTGGTATCCACTGTAGTCTATGAGCTGTGACATTAGTTTTATCCCTATGTACTGAAATTCATTTAGCACATGTGTTGCTAAAGTAGAAATGGTGTTTAGGATGTTTATACTTCTGGATTATGCAAGCTTAAAAATGAGACTATATATAATAGATGTCATACTAGATAGATATAGTTATTCCTATCTATTTCTTAAGAGTTTCTTAAAATAGGTAATGTTATTGTTTTAGGCTTAAGACTTTTCAGTTTTATAACATTTCCTAAAGATTGGCTACATACAAATAAGTTCATTGTTGAAATTTTTTCTGAAACTAAAGTATGTCATTTGTAAATTCACTCCTTTGTAATGATCCCAACAACTTCTTAGCCCTCTTCTCCTTCCGAGTTAAATGAGTAAGTTGCCTCCGTTTCTAAGTCCAAGTATGTTCTCCCTTCTCCTACTAGTCTGTACTTGCTGTTTAGTACTGCGACTTAAACAGTGCTCATTCAGGCACAGTATTAGCATGTGGCAATGTACGGAAGGCTCCAGGACCGTCACTCCTGTCCCTTAACAGTAGGTGTGTGACCCTGATACAGCCTTGAAGGCCCACATGGGTGTGAAGCCCGGAAGCCCAGAAGCCCATTCCAGCTGAAAGCAGTCACAAGGAGTTTGGTTTTGTTTGGGTTTGTTCTAGGTATGGTCCCAGGGATCCCAGATCAAACCAGGCCCCTGGGCCTATCCTAGAACCAACCTAAACCCGTGCATCATTCCTGAACCATCCAGAGCGTGATCCTAGAACCATCCTAAACCCGCGCATCATTCCTGGACCATCCAGAGCGTGATCCTAGAACCATCCTAAACCCGTGCATCATTCCTGGACCATCCACAGCATGAAGACTGAAGATAACTGGGGCTGAACCACACATCCTGTGCTTCCCGGGGTTCACTTTTCATTTGTGTGCCTGTGGGTTAGCAAACATTGGCTGAATGGTCTATCTGAGATCCACTGACAGCATCTGGTAATAAATACTACAGTTGTTTCCCATAATAGGAATTCTTGGTGGGTGTTATTAATTGCCAGTGAGGAGAACTGTTCTTGCGATTTTTGTCATCAGATACAATAGATGAAAATGTCTAGTTTAAGAAGCAGCAATCTAGCCACAAAACAGCCATTTTCCAAAATGAATGACACCTGCTTTCCTAACTGTATCAGTACCCTTCACCTGGATGGTTTAGCTACACTTTCGCGAAGGTCTTATCTCCCAGTTCTAATGCTAAGTGATTTTAAATTCTTGTTTCAGAAACTAGTATCTTTTCCGTCACTGAGTCTGCTGCACAGCAGAGCTCGCTTTAAAAGTCTTCGGTGGCCTCTGATAACAAGGTAGGCTGATTCAGTAGAAGTGGCTTGAGCCCTCACTCTTTAAATCAGGATTGTGTGGAAGAAAGCTTTAAGAACTTCATTTTTCTTCCTTGATGCTCTGGATTTTGAAACCATCCGGGTAATGCATTTATTATGTGGCCTCATCACAGCTGGCATTGCTACAATCACCTGCATGTTTATTCGTTTTGATTTGGAAGACAAGAATTCTGAAAAGGCCTGAAGGGATATCCAAACTCAAAAATTATGGTAAGCATTAAAAGTGTATGCTTTTCATAGTTAGTGTAGTAGACTAACAAGCTCTCCATACATAAGGAACTTGAAATTATGCTGTCCCACCCCGATCTTTATCACACCAGCAAATGTAGATCACCAGTCACAGTTTAAAATGGTCCTGGTGTCCACTGAGGCTCATGTGAGTAACCCAACTGTGGTCCATTAGTTGTATACCATGTTATCACCATGGGTTCTTCGTAGTGTTTCCTCATGGAATTACTTAGCACAGCTAGCTCTATTTCTTGGCATTGCCTAAAATGCATGTGAACATGTTAGGTTGAGGTACAGTATGCTTTGTCAGTATTTAGGGAACATTGCACTAGTTTACATTATTAATTGTGGACACTGAAAAGAGGAAAGTATGGACTATTTAATGAGGGTTTTGTGTGTGTTTCCTCTTTTAAGTCAGGGTCTCATATCGTAGACTGGCTTTGAACTTTCTATATAGCTAAGGTTGTCCTTAAACTCCTGATCTCCCTGCTTTTACCTCCCAGGTTCTGGTATTATAAGTATGTACCACCAACAACCCTGGCCTTTTTGTTGCTGTTTTTTTTGTTCTGTTTTGTTTTTTGAGACATTTTGTAACACTAACTGGCCTAGAACTTGCTGTATAGACCAGGCTGATCTTGAACTCCTGGCAGTCCTTCTGACTCCACCTCTAGATTGCTGAGGTTACAGATGTGTGCCACCATTCTGGGCAAGGTTTGGCTCTTTAGTAAGCTTTTCAAGTCTGCTCAGTGGTAGAACACTGGCCTATCACCAAGGCTCTGAGACCTATCTCTGACACCCTCCAACCGCACAAAATAGCCTTTGGAAATAACTTTCAGATACTTTTTAGTTTTGTTTTATGGTTATTTATGCCCTGTATATTAGAACTCTGCTTTTCCTACCCTAACTGAAAACTTGAGATAATAAAATCTTGGGGGGGGGGGCTTTTTGTTGAATTGGAATAAAACACCAGAACTTTTTACTACTGCCATTTTTATCTTCAATCCAGGAAATGTCTGTGCCTTTAATGAAACATTTCTAAAACTTTTCATTGTACAAATCTTAAACTCTTCTATCACTTAGATAAGAGCTCCTGTTCCTTCCCACAGCTCTTGGCAGGCAGGTGCCATTCTGTTTCCTGTTATGACCTCAGTCCACCTCACTTAGCATGTGGCAGAATTTCTTTTTTTAGGGCCAAATAATCTACACATTTACTACATGTTGTTGATTATTCATCTACTGGGAATTACCTGATTCCCTGTCCTGGTTATTATAAATAATGCTGTTATGTGTGTATTGGGAGGGGTACCTCCTTTTAAACGAGGTGCCTCATTACTCACTTTCGGTGTTTTATTACATCAATTTGTTGTCAACTACTTTTAAAAGCTTTGAAAATTGTAGGTTTGCAAGTGCTGTGTAACTGTTCTTAGCTTAAATCATCTCTAATAAAATCTGAAATGCCTTGTACGATTTTGTGTATCTCGTTTTCACCCTGCCATTTGCAACATGGACTAATGACTAGAAGGAAGAGGCCTTTCTCTTCTTCCTGTCGCTACTTCTCTTACTTTGTAGAATTTCCTAGCACTTCACACAAGAATAAAAAACACGGTATTGCCCGGGCAATCCTTTGAATTTACCTTTGATTGGTAAATATCTGGTGATAATTTATCAGAGTGAAAACAGTGGCTTAATTTCAGATTATCCAGCTTTTCCTTATTACAGCTTTTTGTTTGCTCGGGGTGTTCTTGTTTGTTTGGGTAGTTAGTTGTTTTTGTTGTTTTTTGGTTGGGATTTTGGTTTTTTGGGAGGGGGTGTTTGTTTGTTAGTTTGATTTTTCGAGACAGGGTTTCTCTGTATTGCCTTGGAGCTTGTCCTGGAACTCGCTCTGTAGACCAGACTGGCCTCAAACTCACAGAGATCCTCCTGCATCTCTGCCTCTGCCTCTGAGTGCTGCGATTAAAGGCCTGTGTCACCAATACCCGGCTGGTTGTTGTTGCTGTTGTTGTTTAGCGGTGGTGGTTTGTTTTTGAGACACTGTTTGACTGTGTAGCCCAGCTCTGCCATCAAAGGCACTCCTGCTCTCCTACCTCCTAACTGCTAAGTTTACAGGTGTGCAGCACCACTGTATCGCTGGACGTTAAAATTTCAGTTTTCACCATTTCCTCTGGACACAGCAGGCTGTATCAGTTACCCTCTTAACAGAAAAGTCATGTCAGCATCAAGGACGGAACTCGTATCCAATGGTTCAGACTCTGTCTCAGGATATTCCCAGAGTGTTTAGAATGGTGCTGGAAATAAAATTCTGGATAAAGAGAAAGTAGTCTTTCTTGGAACTTTTAAAAATATAAACTACCCTTCTCCAGGAAATGTTTGATCAAGGAGAAGTACCCCAAACAGACTAGTTCTCGAACATGCCCGTGTGTGAGATTTGCTGGTTAAGTGAAATGAAAGTGGGCGGGGTGGCACACACCTTTAATCCCAGCGATTAGACAGCAGAGGCAGGCGATCTCTGAGTTCAAGGCCAGCCTGATCTACAGAGATGTTCCAGGACAGCCAGGGCTGCACAGAGAAACCCTGTCTTGAGAAACAAACTAACTAAACATCATTGGGGCTGGAGACATGGCTCAGTGGTTAAGAGCACTAACTAATCCAATTCTAGCTTTGGTTCCCTGGACCTCCATGGTAGCTCACAGTCATCTAGAACTCCAATTCCAGTGGGATCTGATGCCCTCTTCCAGCTTCAGGATGCACATGCAGACAAAACATCCATACACATAAAATAATAACAGATTTGTTTTTAAAAAGTGTGAGGCTATGTAAGATATGTGTAGTTACTCTACCGTATTCTGAAGTCACTGGGTAGGAAATAGCCCATGTGATAATCCTTTCTGGTCTTCACAATTTGCTTTTGAAGGTCATTAACAGATGTGCTGTAACCATTGAAAATAAAGTTGGCAAAGAGTAATTTTCCTCGAATGTACATCTGGAAAAAGTTAATAAAACATTTTCAGAATTCAGTCTTAGAATTTAATACTAATTTGAAAGAAAAACTTGAACCTATAAGTAATCATGTTTCTACATAGAAAACCACATGCATATCCCTAGAGTCTGAGTTTGAGGTTTAAAGCTAAGAAAACAGGCCCAATAGTTGTGCCAATCAGACATTCAAAGTGGTCAACCAATATGATAATTAAGTTCAAAGATACCAACATGTGTTCTTAAACATTCGACTGTGTTTGTTTTATTTTACAACTAACCACTAAGACAATACAGAACCCTGGTGTTTGGAAGTCAATAGGTTCAAATTACAAACAAAACAAGAACTCTGCAAGTGGTGTAACCATATTGAGTCACTCATCTTTAAGAAAAAGGCATTAATTATGATTTGGGAATTAAACTAGACCTCTAAAAACAACTTCACTGCAAACATTGTTTACCTGGTTTTTATGGGTTGCGTCTGAGTGCGTTTATGCGATCCATGTATGACCAAGAGGCTACAGAGGTGGAAAGGGCTGCTAGGAACCCTGGGACTGGAGTTACAAGCAGTAGTGAGCCTCCGAGTAGGTGCTGGGAACTGAATCTGAGTCTTCTTCGGGAGTCTTAAGCACCGAGCCATCTCTCTAGCCCGGTTTCTCTATTATGAAGAAGTATAGTTTTACAGTGTCAAGCCAAGCTTGTCATTCCCCACTAAGGTATAAGAGAATCCTAAATCTTGAAGCACAGCAGATAACTTGAGATTTTTCTTTTACAGCTTTTAGAGATTGGGAGTAAATGATTCCTTTTAAGGGTGGCAAGAGAAGAAAGTAATTAAAACTTTAAGAGCTTTCTATAGCACAGAACTTAATGGTGCTATAAAACAAAGTACACTTCATATCTTCAAGCACCAAGAGCCTGAAAGCCTGAGTAGTACATAGATTTTACAGCCCCATATTATTTCTTTACCTTTAGATTATATTGTTAGAACCTAATTCTGGGGTCCTAATGGGCCAATGGGAGAGCCCTGCGACACAAACACCAAAACCAGGAGATGCAACAGGCAAGAGGTGTTTATTGAACGAGTGCACTCGGGTGTCAGCAATCTCGGGGAAAGCTGCACACCCCTCAGAAGGTCCAGGCTCTTTTTAAAGAGTGTAAAGCGGCATGCATGCATGGCACACAAGGTGATTGATTACAAAGTATAATTTCATGTTTGAGAGATCACCCAGGTGTGACCTGTTCTTTAAAGGAAAAACCACAGAATGACTCGGAAAATCCCAGACTGTCCGTTGGCCAGGAGTGACCCGGACAGGGCTGTTCATCTGGAACCATTTGTTCCAGGGTTGGGGCCTATTTCCTTGATGTGGGCCACGACCTGGGAGAGACCACTTCAGTTATTCCACAAAGGTTTGATGACTCAGTTACTAGCCCTATTTAACAAGATCAGCTTAGCATATAACCACTAGCCCCATCACCATAGTAACCTTTCCCGTTCTCATAATTCCTGATATTTCCACCCATGTCAATGTACATTCTTTGTGATTTTCTATATTCTGCTTTCAAGAACTATTCTCCTGCCCCTTTCCTACATCCTTGCTCTGCAAACTAAAATCTTTCAATATGATCTTTTCATCATGAAGGGTGTTTTGACGAGGTTTCCTCTATGGAAATAGAATTTTCTGGTTTACCATTTCTGCAACAAAGAATCTATTTCTTAGGTCCATCTACATGGCCAGTACAGGGTGAAATGGAGTTCTGTGTGGTTCTTGGCCCTGAAATACTTTGTCTTTAGCCTTTCTCTTAAACACTCATACCTGGCCATTAACCACAAAGAATGTATATTGCTTAAACTAAGAAGGAGAAACTATACAGATGGCTAATAATAGGTTATTATTGTATTATTAAAATAACAAAGTTATAATGAAGAACATGTATGTGAATATCTTATGAGGTCTAAAACACTGAACATTATTTCTCAATAGTAACAAGGATGTTTGGCCAGCACTTCTCCCCGTGAACCTAAAATACTATATAAAGAAGAGAAAGTGTGTCTCTGTGAGTTCGAGGACAGCCTCGTCTACTGGAAGAGTTCTAGGATAACCATACATCGTGAGATCCTGTCTCAAAAAAAAAAAAAAAAAAAAAAAAAAAAAAAAAAAGTGTGTGTGTGGGGGGGTATAATTCCTAAAAAGTGTGGATTGACAATACTTCATTCTTATTTGGTTTGGGTCTTTGATCTTCCATTCTATTTTGAAGAAAGCTTTCCATTCAGTGTGTGTTAAGCTACTGCCTAGAGCAACAATGCAGTGTCCAATTCCTGCAAAAATACCTTGGTAATCATGCAGAGAAATGTTTCACTGGGGAAAAATGAAAACCTTCAGATTATGTGATTTAGGATTTGATCAGAGTTCTATATCTCTTGCACGTGCTGTCTGTCACTCACTCATACTCTTCCCACCATTTTTTCTTTTAACATAGTCCCCATGTGGCCCTGGCTAGTCTAGAACTTGAGGCAAGCCTCTGCCTCTGCCTTCCTAGTTCTGGAATTGCAGGTGTGCACCAGCATGCTTGGTCCACCCTTCCTTTCTCCCTCCCTCCCTCCCTCCTTCCCTTCTTCTGTGTGTGTGTGTGTGTGTGTGTGTGTGTGTGTGTGTGATTTTCGAGACAGGGTTTCTCTGTGGCTTTAAAGCCTGTCCTGGAACTCGCTCTTATAGACCAGGCTGGTCTTGAACTCACAGAGATCCTCCTGCCTCTGCCTCCCGAGTGCTGGGATAGAAGGTGTGTGCCACCACCACCCGGCTTGGCCCACAGTCTTGTCTTCCTGTTGTGTTTAGTGAATTGCAGCTAGCTTCAAATCCCAGAATAGGGTGTGAGGGTGCAGCTTAGTGCTAGAATAAGCACTTGACATGTTTCAGGACTTGGTTCAGTCCCCAGCACAGAAACAAAATACCTGGGATGATCTAATAACGTCTTAACAACCAAGAAGCCCTCGTCCTATTTTCACTGTGGGCCCCAGTTTTTGAAAACCTTACCTACTACCGAGATCTGTATCACAAACTGTAATTTTTCTTCATGCACTTCTAAATTAACCAAACTCATAATGGCTGTGCTGCACACCAGGCACAATTCTTGATGCTGAAGATGAACCTACGAACAATTTCTCTCTGCTGCTGAATACTACTTGGGAAAGGTGCACACCTGCAAAGTCAGTTATGGTAAGTGCTACACAAAAATGAAGCCATATTGAAAGTAGAATCCTTTCTATCCAGGGCAGTCAGATACACAAGGAATGAAGGAAAGAGTCCCTCAAACACCACAGAGAAAGGACTGCAAAAGAAAGCGTCCCTTGAGGCAGGAATGAAGGAAGCAAGGGGCTGAGCCCGTTTCAAGGTGGGTATAGTTGTGGGATATTTTGGTCGCATTCTGATGCTCCCGAGACTGCCAGTAAAGTTAGCTTTGAACCAGAGGGCAAAGCCAGCTACTTGCTGGCCAAAATTAGCCATAGAGGTTCTGGCGGACTAAGAACAGACAGACACAGGAAGTAATAGGTCGGGTCTTAGAGAGGGTCTCATCCCTTTTGGATCTAGGAACCAGAGTTACTTCTCCACTGCTTATCAGATGAGTCAGGTTTTTACCCCGATATCTGACTTCCAAGTTTTTTTGTTGATAAAGAATAACTGGATAAATGCTTCAGGGACAGTAGAGGGCTCTGTAATCTATAAGGCTTTTACTCGAGAGGAAACCACTGGGGAAAGTTTTTAAGGTTTTATGATGTTTAAAAATGTAAAATGTCCACAGTTCTGTATAAAAGTCTGGCCGGTATGGGGGAAAGAAGGATACATGCTACTATAGCCATCTGGGTAAAAACTGAAGTTTTTCAGCAAAGGCAGTGAGAAGTGGTGAAGTTCTAAATAAACCGATTTGCCAACTTCATGAATACAGTGTGAGAAAGATGACCCTAAGGGTTTGGGCCTATGCATCGAGTTATCATTTACTGAGGCGGGGCAGCAAGCTGGGATTGGTTAGGTGACAAATATTTCTCAACCCACAAGTGGGAATGTTGAATAGGGCAGACTAATACAGGAGCACAAGTTCAGAAGAAAGGTCTAAATTGGGCAATGTTTGCATTCTGGAGAGTATTTAAAGTCATGAACTGAGAACTAAGTTTAGCTTTGAGGATCCACAGTTTAGAGATCAGCCTTAAAGGGAATTTGCATGGGAGTCTGCATCGGCACGGGAGATGATACCCAGAAAGACCAGTGAACATGGCATTTCATGGAAGATGAGCCAGGAGTATTGTGCCTTCATGTGGGTTGCTGTGTCCAATGTCTTGGACTCAGCCAAGCAGCAGGAAGTTCAGTTTGAAGCTTATCCACCCAAGGATGATGAGTATTACTGGTTCTGCTATGTGGATCAAGATGGTGTGGTTCAGGGAGCAAGTACCCCTTTCCTGATGGGAGATGTCATTCTGTAAATATGTTTCTCTTATTGGTTAATGAATAAAGCACTGTTGGCCAATAGGAAAGCAGGATAGATGGGACTAGGAGAGAAGGAGGTATCAGGTAGAGAATATTCAAGATGTAGGACCAAGAGAGAAGAATGCCGGGCCCTCTCTCTGGTAAGATAAGACCACGTGGAAATACTTAGATTAATAGAAATGGGTTAATATTTAAGACAAAGCTAGCCAATAAGAAATACTAGTAACAGGCCAACAGCTTTATATCTGATACAGAGTCTCTGTGTGTTATTTGAGGCTGGTGTGGCTGTAACACTCGTATCACTTTCCAGTTCTGTTCAGAGCGCAAGAAAGGCTCCATGGTTCTTAACACTAAGGGAAAGATGGAGAGATCCAGTGGCATAAGGAGCTTTATCTACAAAGTCAGGAACTGAGAGCTGTGCCAGCCTCCAGGAGCAGAACTCAAGCATGCAGGCTGAGCTGCAAAACAAGCATGGGGAGTCAGAAACTGCAGCATCTGAGCTGCTCTAGCTGAAGGAACACAACCAGAC